CGCCCCGCCCCGCCCCTGTGCGGTTCGCCCCGACGCCGCCGGAGTGGGGCGGGGATCAGGCACGTGAGGGATTTTTCTTTTACACTCCTTCATATCCCGTTATTTTCGCTTGCGGGGGGGAGGGAAGGGGAGTAGTGTCTTCTACCGTTTGCGGTTTCAAGCCCGTGTTTATAACCCCAGTGCTTAAGTATTTCATACCCCGAGGTCGGACAGCGCTGACTGCTACACAGATTAACTAACTAATTGTACATTAAATGATGAGTAGCGCTGTTGGTTCTTGTGATCTTCAAAGCACAAAGTCCCAAATGCTGAACTGACTGTGGGAAACTTTATCTCCCCCAGGCAGTGACATCGATACCCCAGCAGCTACTTTATTATAAAGTTTCAAAAGTTGATTTTTCAAGCCTGTTGACGTATTTATAACCACCGCCGGTCTGAAGCTGTGTTGCTTTCCCTACTGAAAAATATTTTTTTTTAATAGAGATTCAAATCTTTAGCTTACAGGTCACACCTAGCTGAGTTTTGTCAAAAAACCTGCTGCTTTGTCTGCAATGAGTTCTCTATATTTTTAAAAGTCTGTTACAAACACTGCATATCCAAATACAAGCCTCGTACTGCTCCTGGATTATAATACATTAATATGCAAAGCATTTCATGTTAGAACTGATTGCACAACTCATTTAATTACAGATTGCCTTTATTTACTGAGGGATTAATTAGATACCTGACAGTGCTAAAGCTACTTTCTTGCTCAACTCTAAAGACAACTGCACCTCTGCAAGGCTGATAACGGATGAGTAGTGCCTTCCCATGGGACCATTTAAATGTAATTTTTTTTTTTAATAGGCCAATGGTTTTTAAACCAAATATTTTTATATAGAAAGTAAGAGTATTTTGGACTCTCGGAAGAGTGTTATCAGCTCCCATTAAAGCTTGCCAGAAATAATAGAAATTACCAGGAAACAGTCTGAACAAAAGGAGTTAAAACTCTAAATGTTCTGAGATGTTCTTGCTACCACAAGATAAATGGCATGCACCACCTGACTTCAAACACACGAACATACCACCCACACATACACAGTTCTAAGGTCCCACAGCACTGTTAAGGTATTGTCCTGGTAAAAGTTTGAGATGATCCAATTCTCTGGTCTTGCCAAGACATCAAAAGAAATGCACTTTCATCTTCAGTGAAATTTCATAAGGAGAACATAACGGGTTACATGAAATTCACCCTCGTACAACCACACTTCATGGTAGTGGAAGCCCAATCCCTCCATCCTCTGGCAGAGGATTCAGAGTCTGCTGTGAAATGAACCTGTTCAGTCTTCTTCCCACAACAATGAGAGGTCTGCACCCACTCACTCTTACCAAAGTGGAAAACTGCATTTTTGTCTTGGAAAATTCACCATGTTCTTCGCCAGTGAGAGAAGCCGAGCATCCATCTTCTCTCTAGGGAGACCTCACTCTCTTCTCAGCTTTGCCCACCACCATGCTCACCTGCTTTCAGACTCCCTGTGCTCCCAAGTGCGGACTTACTGAGGTTGCCTTTTAACCTCTCTCTTTTATTAGGTGACAGGAAGCCTATCCCAGAGAAATGTAAATATTTATACATGTAAGATATAGAAGGATTTTTTTCTCACCTCAGCCTATTCATTACCTAACAAGCAACCATCAAAAAAAAAAAAAAAGACAAAGTTAAATATAGTCTTGTTTTGGTAACAGAGTAGCACTAGTAAGATTTGTGTAAGTAAATTTGTATTTGGAATAAAAGCACTGCTAAAGGATTTAGACTGAAGTATCTCTTATAATGCTTAATGTTTTTAGTAGGATATGGAAATGCTATCATAATTTAAGGTTTTTCTCACTAAATACCAGGTTGTTGACATGTACCTTAATCTCCATGAAAAGGAGATCAAAACTAAATTTGCTAAACAGGGAAATTGTGAATTTCAGTTAAATTTAAAATTCTTATTTATTTAAACTTACTCAAGTCAGTTGCTGATTCATGAACACTGGCACAAGATATTTTTTACTGGACAGAAAGAATGTACAAGAGAAGTAAAAATATTTATAATGAGGTTTAGATGAAAAACTTGACTTTTACAAAGCTCTAATTTTTCTGAAACTAGCAAAAAGTACTTGCAGGCCCACTTGAATTAATGTGTTTATGCAGCTTTCAAAGACAGGCTTTTACTTATTAATGTTAATATTCTTAAGGATGGTTTGTGGACCATGCTTTATGTAGAGTCACAACACACGGCACATTCAACCACCACCCAGTTCTTCCCAATCACATACAGGGTGTGCAGTTACACCGCAAGTTATACTGAATGTGGCCCCAGTCTGAATAGCAGCTGGGGTCTCTAGAGTGAATCTGGGTCTCGTGATACTCAGCAGAAGCTAGGTATCCCTACACAGAGAATATAGCGTTTTCACTTGGTAGCATTTTATGTTCTCTTTATAGATGTCCATGTTACTGTGCAAGGCCACATGGGATTAAGCTTTAATAAAATCAGTTAGTTTCTTTAGAGGTCAATGGCTGTAACTCTTTAGCATCAATGAAGCGATGATAAGGGTAATTTTGAACACAGGTCGTGTTTCCATTGATTTAATGGGAACACAACTGGGTTCAAAATGAAGCCCTAAAAATTGCAAACATTGTTCAATCCCAACGTTTTCCCTTTCAAATATAACTCCTCTGTAAATCTCCAAAGGGAGTTTAACTAGAAGGAAAATCCAGTTATAAGCTAGTTTTGAGATACTCTTACAACACAAATTTAGTTTCTGTGGATTTCAAAATAAAACAGTTATGATTAAGACTTAGAATTCTTTTATTTCTAACATAATAATTCTCCAATATCCTATGCTCCACTATCCGTAGCTCGGAGTTCACCAAGCATTCAAATAAAATAATCCTTGTAACAATTTCAGGCAGAATACCTTCACCTGTTAAAATTTACGTGCCAACTCTACTGTCATTTTTACCAGTGATGTGCTGACATGTGAAAAAGTGCACACAACATTATTTTAGAATTCCAACACAGTATGCCCCTTCTCTTTGCCAATTCTGAGGTAACACTCAACACATTTTCTGAGTTGCTAAAAATAAAAATTGGCATACTTACCATTTATTTTAAAGGTCAATACAGTATTTGGTAGTCTGAAGCAATGGGCATGTGAAACGGTGTCAGTGCCAACATCAAGGTTTGCAGAAAATGCATGAGTAAGCAAATGATATTATGAAGCAAAGGTACAAAAGTATGATTTCATTTAGCAATTACCTGTCTGACAAGGTTAATATCTAATAGATTTAATGTAAAATTAAAGTGACACCTACCTCACACTGGTTTCTTTAAATTATTTATCATGGCTTGACCTGAGCTGTTTCAACACTTGCAGTCAGTTGAGATTTTCAATAAACCAATTTTTCATTGTGCAGCAAGTCCCAGGTGCCTCCCTTGTCACAAGGATAAAAATTGTTAAATTAAACTCATGCTAACTTCAGTCCTCTCTCTGGGATTAATTTATAGGATAAACTCCCCTTATCTTTTGTCAGATTAAATTTTAGTATGTGCACTTACTGAACCTTCTATTTCAATGGCACACTGAGTGCTTCATTCTTCCTTTTAAAACAATTTATATATTATACTGTCACCAGTCCATCTTCTTGTACAGTTGCAATTCATTATGAGGCTTGTTAATTTTCCCTTCTCCTGATTGCCATTTTTTTTCTGGGTGTAATAACTTTATTAAACCTATGACCACCTTTTATTTCCTTTAGCCAGAACACAGAGAATATAAATGCAATGTTTTCAGTCAATGTCTTGCATGTGCCAGTCCATACGCAGCAGCTTCTGAAAGTCATTCCTTACACATTGTTGTGTGTTTTCAAAGAAGGGATCAGCTATATTCTGCTTTAAATATTTATAATTCCACCTGTGTAAGACACTAACCTAGGACAACTGGAACATCTTAAGTCACTTTCAGCATTCTAGTCATTTTTCTTTTGTTTAAAACCGCGTAACTGCTCGTAGAATTATTACAATAAATTTTTTGTTTAGTTACAGTTGTTGGGAAGATAGTTTCCCAGAAAAGGAACATTTTTGAAAACTTTGAGCTAGAGTGTTTAGATCAATGCCAAAACCAGATATTTATAGGTAGATCTAGATCTCCTTTCTACCACATAAACTTGGTCATCTTTTGGTCTTGCACCAGAGATCATTCCTGGGCTTTGAAACATGGGCGTCTAACAGAGTAAAGAATGCGAAAAGGCTCTAACCATGTTTGGGCATGTGCCAACTAGCACTCTCCCAAACAACTCCTGGACATAGCCTGGGAGTCAAACCATTCCAGAAATAATTTCCAACAACCCTCAGTGACCAAGATTACAGCTTCAGTGTAGGTCAGACCATGTCATATTATTTGACCTCAGTGTCTAAAGAAGTTCCTGAACAACTGATGTTGACAACACCCCTGAGCCTTTCAAGTTCTTAATTTAAGGAACTGTGTACTGTGGCATAGTCAAGTTACATTACAAAACTCCGGTTGAAGTTACAGTATGTTAGCTAGCAAAGAAAATCTCTGGCATGTAGTGCCACATACGGGGCCTAATGGAGTCCACTGCCTAGAGAATGGGGTGGCACTAGGGACAAGAAATGGCGAGCCTTGCTGGTAACCACCTACAATTAAAACTGTAGCAAGGATGATGCAAGGCATGACCAGTTCCTGCGAATTAGCCAAAGAGCCTCTGGCTGCTCTTGCCATTCAAAACATGTGTGCAGCTTCACGATATGGCCAGATAGAGTTGGTGAATGGGAAGATACTTCAAGTGGAGTTACAAATATCCCAGTTATTGGAAGATGCAATATCAAAGGACTAGCAGCAAATGCTGGTCCTGCACCAAAGGGAGACAGCAACAGGTATGACACGCAGGGTGGTTTTTTG